CACACACACACACACTCGCACTCACACACACACACACTCACACACACACACACACACTCACACACTCACACACACACACACACACACACACACAGAGTGACTCACTGACATTAACACAAACACACGGATCTTCACACCGCGCTCATGTGTATTTGAGTCTGTTAAGCCGTTTAGCACATTCAAGTGAAACTGATCATTAGCGACAAACAATAAACTTCAGGACAAACGTATTACGAGCTCTGCGGCTGCTGGCTGATGAGATCTGCTTCTGTAAAAAACATTTCAGCTTTGTTATGAAAATACTGTGTTTAATTTCTGGAGAAGAACTACACTACCCATAATCCCAGGTTCTGGCTGATTTGTCTCCATTAGGATGCTTGTATTTGGTAGTATTTTAACGTGAAATTATAAACATTTATTTAATTATTTATATAATATGTGTATACAAATTATTTATTAAAATGATATACAATATGTATAATTTAACATATTAAAATAAAAATAACAAAAATGTTTAGATAAATACCCTCTGCTCACGACAAATACACATTTGTCAATTTTTGAATAACTTTATTATTATTATTATTTCATATAATGTTAATACATATTTATCATTATTATTATTATCTATTTATTGTATATAATAATAATAATCATTATTATATTAATTATTATTATAGTTCTGGGTTTAGAGGTCAGAGAGGTGACGGCGGGCGGCGGGAAGGAGAGCAGCGGCAGCGTGACACCAGTGATTCCAGAGAGGATGTTATTGTGTCACTGTTATCATCACTGTCCTGAAGACTCCACCAACAACACCTGCAGGTACACACACACACACACACACACACACTATTATTATTATTATAGATCTGGTTTTAGAGGTCATAGTCTGTAGTTTTACCCAGTGCTCATCTTAACATTCTGATGATGATGATGATGATGATGCAGGACTGATGGTTACTGCTTCACTATGGTGGAGGAAGAGGAGGGCGGCTCTCTGGTGCTCACGTCCGGCTGCCTGGGGTCAGTGGGCTCAGAGTTTCAGTGCAGGGTGAGTTTCCTGTCTGTATCTGTGTGTCTTGCCTGTGTCTGTGTGTCTCTGTCTGTCTGTCTTGTCTGTGAGTGTATGTGTCTCTGTCTGTCTGTGTGTCTGTTTGTAATTGTCTGTCTGTGTGTGTGTGTGTGTTTCTCTGTCTGTCTGTCTGTAATTGTCTGTCAGTCTTGTCTGTGTGTGTGTGTGTCTGTCTGTCAGTCTTGTCTGTATCTATCTGTTTATAATTGTCTGTCTGTCTGATATGAACACACGCTCTCTTCCCATCAGGACACTGGGAACGCTCGTCTGAGGAGGATCCTGGAATGCTGCACGGATCAGGATTTCTGTAACCGAGACCTCCATCCGACGCTGCCTCCACTCAAGAGACCCGGTAAGACACAGCAGCATTCATAAAACCACATCAAACATAACGACTTTACACAGACGGCCCGAAAATTACACGCACGACCAGTCACACATTTGACACAATTAATCTTTCTTATGGTCTCATGATCTGAAAGCTTAAATTGACTTTTGTTGACAAATATAAATGATACATTGCATGTAAAACACATGATTTTTTTTTGAGGAAGCTTCCAGAATCTAGACAAAGAAGAATCTCAGATATGAGAGTTTTCATTTGTCTTATTTGAGGGTTATAGAAGAATGAGAATGTGTCTAAACCTTTGTGTTTTTTGTAAGCAGCATCATAGTAGCGTTCATGAGACGCACCGCATGCTGATATTACATGATCAGAATTCATCTTTCACACACACACACACACACACACACACACACACGTCTCTGGGCTGATAGTTTCTGACAGGTTAAACTGTTACAAACCGCAGCTTTTTGGCTGCAGGGGCTGCTGGGATTGCGCTGCAGCGGGTTCCCTACCGCTCTAATGAAAAGGACACAGCATCTCACGGGAGCGCTTGAGTTTCCTGATAGCTGTCCGTCTGTGACACCTCAGACCTCAGTGTGTGTGTGTGTGTGTGTGTGTGTAGTAATTAATCATTTCATGACAAATGAATGGTTGGTTCTTGAAGAGCATCATTCTGCAAGACAAAACAGGAGCTGTTTAATTTCTGGACTGTCAAATGTATTGTTGTTTCATACAGTAGGTTTTCTTCTAGTGGTTGAGTGTGTGTTAGTCTCCAGTTATTATAATTATCTTCATATCATATCATGTGTGTTACTGTTAGTGTGTGTTAGTGTGAGTGTGTGTGTGAGAGAGTGTCTTTGTGTCTGGTGTGTGTAAGGTTAGAGTCCCAGCGAGCAGCTCCCTGGCGTTGGGCTCTCATCGGTGTCGTCCGTCAGAAACTCGAGCGCAGAGCTGCAGGAAGACGATGATCGATTACGACTCCGTTTCCCTTCTGAACACACACTGACCTGAGATCAGAACGAGAAACACGTTTCAAACATGATTTTCCTCAAAATATTGTGCATTTGAGTGTGGAAAAACACTATTAATATTGTTACAGCACATCACTATCAGCACTAGTACTAGTCATGATTAACTAGATAAACCTCAGATGAAGCTGTTCTGTGTTTCTACGCTCACACACACACACACACACACACACACGTGACTAAAGTGTTTGGTGTCTTTCAGATCAGGACAGCAGAATTCATCACACGGCTCTGTTCACCTCCGTGAGCATCTGCTGCGTCATGCTGATCTTCATCATCATATACTGCTATCACAGGTACATCAGCATCCTCCTCCTCCTCCTCATCACTCACACGAGTCTTCTTTACAGCAGTCAGTCACTTGAATTCATGTCTTGTGTTTGACGTGTGTCAGGTATAACCGTCAGGGGACACGGGCGCGCTACAGCATGGGTCTGGAGCAGGACGAGAGCTTCATTCCCGCCGGAGAATCTCTGAAGGATCTGATTGAACAGTCTCAGAGCTCCGGCAGCGGATCAGGACTCCCTCTGCTGGTCAGACACAAGCATCACAACATCAGTCCAGTCTTAACCTTCCACACAAACTCTGTTATCTTTTACATACATAGCTTTTTTCAATTTATTAATTTCATTATTTTGATTCAAATGTGTTCAGTCTCTGTAACAGTGGAATTATTATTATGATGGAATTATTATTTGTGGTAATTATTTTAGTGATAATTATCAGAGGTCCGTTGCATAAGCTGCTTCAGCTAGCATTACAATCATCAACTTAATTTTTATTTTTTGAATCAGTTGTATAAAAATTATAATTTAAGAACAAAAAGACTGATTGTCCCTTTTTGATTATCTACAATTTTTATTATTATTATTTTAGACAAACAGAACATTTATATCAACCGTCATATAATAAAAAAATTAAACAGAAAATTATACAGAATTATAGAAAATATGCAAAAGTATTACGTAAATGCTATGAGTTTAAATTTTTTTTGTCATAATATTCATATTTTGTATTTTTAGAATCTGTATAATTTTCAGTTTAATTTTGTAGTGTCTTTTCATATTTTTTGTCTGCAGTAAAATATTTAACTAAAAATAATATAAATATACACACTTAAAAATTTAACTGAAAACTATACAGAACTTAAAAATAAATAAGAGTTTAAAAATTGTTTACACTATTTTTACTCTATTTTTTTACTGTAATATTTAAGTAATGTTTTTCCATATTTGTTGTGCATGGCTTCAGTTTATTTGTTGTGTATATATATTGTTTTTAGTAAAATATTTTACTCTATACTAAAATATTTATGAAAAGCCATACTTAAAAATGTTCAGTGTGAGGAATATCTCGCATATCAGCACATCCAAGACACCTTGAACCATCCAAGATAAATTCCTGATGGTAATGTTTCTGCTGAGGTAACAGTTATTAGAAGATGCAGAAATCAGTTCAGGTCATAAAATACCAGGCAACAGATATGTTTTATTGGCTCACCAAAGTCAATTTGGACTCTTATTTGAAGTGTGAAATTTGGACTCCACGTAGAATACCCACATACAGCATGTGGAAGTGAAAATGTGCAAATAGCTGTAGTAGTAAGTGTTTGTAGAGCTACAGAATTTGCTGATCTAATAACACGTCACGTCAGACGCTGCGGTTTGGTGTTAATGTATCCCATTATCTCCTCTGCAGGTGCAGCGAACCATCGCCAAACAGATCCAGATGGTGAAGCAGATCGGGAAGGGCCGTTACGGCGAGGTGTGGATGGGCCGCTGGAGGGGCGAACGGGTCGCCGTCAAGGTCTTCTTCACCACAGAAGAGGCCAGCTGGTTCAGAGAGACCGAGATCTACCAGACCGTCCTGATGAGACACGAGAACATCCTCGGTAAGGAAGCTCCCCAGGCTCTCGCCTCCGATATGGATTTTTGTATTGACCGATGCCGATATCTTAGAAAGCAGTGTGGCCAATGGCTGATATAAAGATGGATAGTAAAAACAAATGCATAACTGAAATTAAATCTATATTTATTTAACATAATATTTTCTAAATTGTATAAAGTGTAAATAACTATGAAAAATAAATCTTCAAAATAAAAAGATTTTTTTATCTTAATTTTGAAATTGTATGAAGTGAAAATGTGTTTTTTATCAACAAGTTGTCAGAAGTTGTTGCACTGTTAGACATATCGGCCTAATAAATAAATAAATATAAAATGGCAGGTATTGGTCGATATATCGGTTGATCACTAGTTCAGAGTAGTCAGATCAGATCCAGATAAAAAAAATGGCAAATATCGGCTGACATATCGGTCAGATCACGTCTGGAAAAAAAAGCCAAATATTTGCTGATATATGAGTTGAGGACTAGTTGTGATTGGTCAGGTCAGATCCAAATGTAAAAAATTACAAATATGGGCCGATATATCGGTTGACCACTGGTTGTAAATGGTCAGATCAGATCCAAATAAAAAAAATGCCAGATATTACCCGATATATTGGTTGAACACTAGTTCTGATCTGTCAGATCAGATCCAAAATTGAAGACATGCCAAATATGGGCCGATATATCGGTTGACCACTGGTTGTAAATGGTCAGATCAGATCCAAATTAAAAAATGCCAGATATTAGCCGATATATTGGTTGAACACTAGTTCTGATCCGTCAGATCAGATCCGAAATTGAAGACATGCCAAATATCGGCCGATTTATATCGGTTGACCACTGGTTGTAAATGGTCAGATCAGATCCAAATAAAAAAATGCCAGATATTAACCGATATATTGGTTGAACTGTAGTTCTGATCCGTCAGATCAGATCCGAAATTAAAGACATGCCAAATATCGGCCGATATATCGGTTGACCAATGGTTCTAATTGGTCAGATCAGATCCATATGACCCTGTCTGTCTCCCATGTTCCCGTCAGGTTTCATCGCAGCGGATATCAAGGGCACGGGCTCGTGGACGCAGCTGTATCTGATCACGGACTATCACGAGAACGGCTCGCTGTACGACTACCTGAAATCCACCACACTGGACAGCAAAGCGCTGCTGCGGCTGGCGTACTCCGCCGTCTCCGGCCTCTGCCACCTGCACACCGAGATCTTCGGCACACAGGGCAAACCGGCCATCGCTCACCGAGACCTGAAGAGCAAAAACATCCTGGTGAAGAAGAACGGCACCTGCTGCATCGCTGACCTCGGGCTCGCTGTCAAATTCATCAGGTACAGCAGCTAATACATCTATGGCCTTTATCAGTATGCCATTATAATGTTATTACATTAGACTGATATTAGACAGATAATTAGCAAGGCTTAATTTGTAATTTTAGGACAGGTTACAGATTATATAATAGACAATAGAATTTTTCCTGTGATTTATGTATTTTAGTGATTTGCTTTATGTGGGGAAAAAAACATTACACAGGCATTTGATTTGATTTTTAGACAAACATTACAGTTATATAAACTAACTTGTAATTTCATGTCATGATTTTATTTTTATAAATGAATAAAGAAATTATGCAAAAGTATTAACATTTGTTATTAACATAACATACAAGCATATGTAGTTGAATTTGTTGAAAAATTATTATTTTTTAGAAACATAAGATTTACATCCACCATTATATCAGTTATCAGCCAAATCGTAAAAAATGAAATGATACAAAACTATATAAATTGAGTGTTATTTTGAAATGTATGTATACTGTATATATGTATATATGCATGTATATACATTTGATTTTTAGCCACACATTTATATCATGGACCATCATATCAATTTTAATGTCATGATGCTTTGTTATGAAATTGAAAAGGAAAGGAAATTCTACAAAATGACGAACAATTTCAAATATTTAAGATACAGAAGTACATTTTTCTTAATTATGCAACTGTTTTAATGAATATATAATAATTAGTGAGTGTTGTACTTTTTATTGCAATTGTATTTTATTGGATTTAAATTGTATGGTAATTTTTGAGAAACATTAGATTTATCATTCTGAACTGTCCTATGTTATATACATACATGCAGTAAAATAATTCAAAAAGTATTATAGTATATGTAGAATATATTTTATATTTTGTTACATGCCCCCCACCAAAACAAAAGTGTAACCTTATGATTATCATATTGAATAATGTGGCAGCAGCTAAATATGTAGAATATGAAACATTGTATTTTTCACTGCTTGTGATGATGTGATGGTGTTGTTGGATGCACACGTGTGTGTTTGTGTTTTTTGCACCTGATGTTTGGCTGCTGTGGGTCTGTTGTCAGTGACACTAATGAAGTGGACATCCCGCCCAACACGCGGGTCGGCACCAAACGCTACATGCCTCCGGAGGTGCTGGACGAGAGCCTGAACCGCTGTCATTTCCAGTCCTACATCATGGCAGACATGTACAGCTTTGGCCTGATCCTGTGGGAGATGGCCAGGAGATGTGTGTCCGGCGGTGAGTGCAACACAGTGTGCGGCTGCTTGATTGGATGGAAACGAGTGAAGCTGTGATGTGATTGGTGGTTTATTTTCTCTAATCCTCACAACCTTTGTAGGCTGCATTAGTGCACGTCCACTTTTCAAGCAGACTCGGGTTCTTCAGGCTAAACACTACAGACAAAAACACTACAGATTCATGGTTTGGTCAGTGTAGAGATTTTGGGCTATTTGGCTTTTCATGAAGTGTTGTTTTCAAAGTAGTGGAAAGAAAGCACTGAAAATAAGTGTTTATTTTATTTCACTTTATGTAATGTAATGAAAGTGTGATGATATCAATTGTTTTGATAAGTTTGTAAAAAGCAATTTTTATTTAGCCTATTTATGTAGTGGCATGTCTTTAATTTCGGATCTGATCTGACGGATCAGAACTAGTGTTCAACCAATATATCGGTCGATATCTGGCATTTTGTTGTTTTGGATCTGACCTGACCAATCACAACTAGTCTTTAACTGATATATCGGCTGATATGTGGTGATTTGTTAAAATTTGGATCTGATCTGACCGATCACAACTAGTCCTCAGCCGATATATTGGCAATTTTTTTCCCAGCCGTGATCTTACCGATATATCGGCCGATATTTGGGATTTTTAAATCTGGCTCTGATCTGACTACTCAGAACTAGTGATGAACCGATATATATTGACCATAAAAAGTCTTAAATGGTACAAGAAAGTGTTACTTATGATTTCAAGAGGTCTTAAATTTGGTGACAGAAAGATGAGAATTGCGATATGGCTTGATGTGATGAAAGTTCAAATATTACGCAATATGCAGCACACACACAGAGTTGTAAATGTGAACTGTTGGATGGACAAGAAAGTAATGCATTGTAAACATGTAAACAATTAAGACACTAAGAATATTTATATGTATGCTATTAAATTAATATAATTGAAAATTAAAAATTGAGAAAAGTTTACACTGTGAACTTAATGACTTTAATGAAGGAAAGATGTACAACTGCATGAAGCACTGCCAATGACATCACAGAAAGAAAAAATGGAGAAATACTGTATAAGACACATAAAGACAGACACTGATTGTGTTTATAGGAGCAACATGTGAGTGGGTGGAGCTAATGAGTTGTGCTCAGAGTAGCTTGTTTTGATTGTGATTGGTGGCAAGGTCTCTGTAGAATCATGAATAATGATGTAGTTTTTCTTCCATAACCTGACTATGGTGTAGTTGCACAAGTACTTGTGTGTTTTATGAAAGACTACAGAAATAGCTTTGTTTCTACTAAATATGGGCAGTTACACAGGAGACTGCAGATTATTAGTATCTGTTAGGGATGGTAGGAAAGAAAAAGAAAAGACACATTCTGTGTTAACATAATTGATATCAAACTAAATGTAGCTTCTTTTCCAAATGTGCAGTCTGAATAGGGTCAATAAAAGTAAAGTAAAATAAAGAAAAGTCCCTATTAACCTGCAGCAGTCTGAGTTTGTATTTAGAAATGAATCTGACAGATAAACATGATTTGTTTGTGTGCTGCTTATCTTTTATTGTAGAACTAGTTTGAATGCAGTGTCTCCCTTAAAGAAATGCAACCATGTGAAACATTTATTTCATTAATATTAAAAAGTAAGGCTTTGAAATGAATGTGAGGAGTGTTTTGGTGTAAGCATGTAAAATGTCATACAAGAAAAAAAGTAAAACATTTTTAATAAGGGTCATTCTGAGAATATTGTCATGATTTTCCTGAAAAAGCGTGGATTTTGTCCTTGCAGACAGTCATTTAAAGTGGCACATTGAAATTAAATATACATAATAGGAAAGTAGTGAGATGTACCAAAATGTTTTTTTGAAGTTGATAAAGATTATTGGAGTATGTTTTACAAGAAAATAGTCTTTCAGCCTTTCAACTTCAAACTGTCATGTTTAATTCAGTGCGTTACTTGCTGTGTGTTTGTAAGTAATTGTGAAATGTACTAGTAATTACTGAGTGTAAATGGTTTGTTTGTTACTCCATTATGTCAGCAGGAGTTGAATGCTGATGGAGAGGAGAAAATCAGGAGTTTGAACGAGTCGTAATGATGAAAAGGACATGTTTGACACTGATTCAGTGAATGATTACTCGGTCAGGAAAAGAATCATCGACAGTAAAGCGATGTCTGTGATTTGGATGTGATCTGTTCTGTGCTGTGTGTGGTCCTGCAGGGATCGTGGAGGAGTATCAGCTGCCGTATCACGAGCTGGTGCCGACGGACCCATCCTACGAGGACATGAGGGAGGTGGTGTGCATCAAGAGACAGAGACCTTCGTTTGCGAACCGCTGGAGCAGCGATGAGGTAACAACATCATACAGAGCTGCTGGCTTTACCAAAGCTATTGCATCATATTTAATATGGTAATGGTTTGAAATGGATTCATAGTCCAGACTTAGCTGGTAAACCTGTTTCACAGACAATCTCCTCCATGCTTCTGTCGTCTGATTGATGAAAAACCACACAACCTATTGATTAATACTTTAGACTTTTTTTATCAAGTCAAAGCTCTTTTAGTGTAATGGCTTCAGCTGGAGCTTCTCGTGTCAGATCTTGACTGGTTTTTCTCAAGTAAAGGTCAGAATAACTGCAGTAATATCTCCAGATGAACTCTTACTGGACTGAAGCAGCTCAGCTTTACTTGATTCTCCATCAATCATGTTTTAGAGTCTCAAATCTGATCCTCAGGATCTTTTGAGGAGCGTTTGTTTCCAGAAGCTTTACTTTCACTGTTCCTCAGCGGAGGAATGATCTTCACAAGCCTCCAGAACATCTCACATCTTCTGAGGAGCCTTTATTTCTTCAGCTCTCAATCACTGCATTATATGTTTGGAGCATTTCAATCTCATCTCACTGAGACAGATTACTGGAGATATAGAGCCACGACTGATATTTAGATCATTTTATGTCAGTATCTGCTGTACTGTTATAAAGATGTCATAGATGTACATGACAAGCATCAGTGCTTAGTTTTAGTGTGTGAATAAAATGACGTTATTTTCGCAGTACATTCTACATACCTTTTTAAGGCTCATATAGTATAGAGTGAAGTAGTAGTTGCAAACACACAATTCATGCATTTAGCAGAGGCTGTAATACAAAGCAATTTACAAGAGAGGGCCAAGAGCACAGAGGAGAAAGAGAGAGCAAACAGAGACTAGAGGAGTGAGCATGAAGAGTGAATGATTAAATAAATAAAGAAAAAGAAGTGTTTGGAGTGTCAAGATGCTTGTCAGCAGTCAGGGCTTCAGGTTTGTGTAGAGCATTGTTTGCAACCCTGTTCCTGGAGGCCATGTTGAAGAGTTTGTAATCAAGCACACCTGATTGAACTCGTCTGCTCATTAGTAGAGAGTCCAAGAGCTGCCATGGCTGGAGCACACAAATGAAACATCTGAAATGTGTTGTGCTGGAAAAGAGTGGTTTGAGTGGATGCTGAAGTCAGCAGTGAAGGCAAGCAGCACATGTGGAGCTTCAGTGAGGCTGTGTAGGTGAGCTGGTGGATGGGAGAAGACAAGAGGAAGGAATGTGGCATGATTAGTGAAAGCTACAGAATAGAAGCCACATACAGATTGAAATAAAGAGGAAAGTAGCATAAGCAATGATGTGCAATGCTGGAAGTGTGTGATGCTTTGCAAGCAAAGGGCCAATGTAAATAGAGAGCAGTGTGAGCAATCAGCTCAATGGGTGGAAGTTGCATGTGAGAGGAACAGAAGAGAAGAAGTGGAGGCTCATGGTAGGAGTAGCAGCAGAGGAAAGTAGGCTGACGGAGATACTCAGCGTAGCGTGGGGTGCGTTGCCGTGTCGTTGCTCGGTGGAGTCGCGCAGGTAGAGTCGCAGCTCTTTACTCTCGCAGGTCTTCACCCGAGCAGGGCTGCCGCTCCACAATGACTGCTGCTTACATACTCACTCACTACCCGCTCAGCTGAACCCGCACACCTCATTAACCAATCTCTGCACTCAAACACACACCTCACACTCCCATTGGACAGATCTCCACACACACCTGACTCCCCAGCATCCTTACTGCTCTTCTGTCGCATTCACACACTGCTACACTTCTCATCAACACGCTTCATATGAAGGCTCTGTAAGTACACTGTAATAACACTCCACTCACTCCTTTCAACCTCTACACTTCCCGTCCACATACATGCTTTCACTTTGCACTTACATTTCCAAATCCACTCCTCAAAATACATCCTTCATTACAATCGCTACTTAACATTATACATCACAACTGTGTTTCTCATCTCACACTCAATACATACATGCTACTTCAAGCCACCGAACAGCAAGTGAAAGTTTCACCTCATACCTCACTCTTTCCTGCTTTTATTTCTTTTTCACTTTACATTTTCATCATTCTGTTGTCTCTTTGTCTGCCTCTAACTTCTTACACATCTATATACTTTCCTTTTCTATTGTGTCATGAAGTCATTAACGTACACAAAATGCTACCTTTGAAACTACCTGCAATACAACAACTCTTGGTTCTACTTTCACTACGTTTTCATTCACCATAACATACCTGCTTCATAGTCCTTACTAATCACCAAGCACTATACGACGACTGCCCACTCTGCCCACTAAATAAACCCTGCCATTATCAAACCTACTTCTCATCAATCAGCACTACTACAGCTACCTCACAATCATTCTGCATCAACACTACACTACTTTGTTTCCATTCATATTTGCTTGGAATCAACAGATTTTATTTATTTTGCCTCGTTCACACTGTCAGTCCAAATCTGATTTCTGTGCACATCCAATTAAGATCCCATTACATTTAGCAAAGGTACACAAAAAAAACATGCACTCCCATTTCTATAAATCCCTTTCAAACTACATTCATATGTGCTTGCCAATCCTAATTACAACATCAGGTGCATTCAACTCACTTTGGTCGGAACAAGATTCAACTACTTCTTTTTCTCTACATCTACAAAATGATCAATAAAGAATGTGCATCATGTTTTTGCTTTTTCCTGTTTTTATACAATGTCAACTTAATCATATATTCTATGCTAATTATACAATACTACTATCTTTTCTATGTAACTTTTTATTGTACAGGCCAAACTAAACCATTCTATTAATTTCAACACATTTACCCTCAATAGACACGCTGCATGTTTTCTCACTGACTTTTTTCATTAGTCTTACTCCTGGTGTCAAATGTACTTTTTACTTATATTTAGTCAACCTTGTCCTGTTTTGGTTTAATCAAGTTTTACTCGACTAAATATCTCAGCATTTTAGTCAATCAAACCTTTTCGTCACATTTTCGTCATGCTGTATAATACTTACAACTCATTAACACATTTTTTGAGCCCTCACAATTATATTCAAAAAGATTATCATTTCATACATTTACTTCTACATTACAGGTATCGCACTTTCACCAGTAAGCACAAATCCATACAACTTGGTTTATTTGACCTCATTTACTGTGCTGATTTATTACACACTGTTTCATATATACATTCATATCAAATACTTAGATGTGAACTCTGTCTACATTATGAAAACTGGCACAAACAAATACATATTTTCACAGCCACATTCCTGAGAGTAATTCCAAATTGCAATGTTTCTCTATTAAAGCAACAGCGCTTCATTAAGTGCTTTTATTCAGCAAACACAATCGCAGTCAAACCAGTCGAGATCTCGTGACAGAACACAGACCGGCTGAAGGACACTTTCATTAAGCTAAACTCCAGCTTGTTTGTCTGTTTTCAGATCATCGTCAGCGTGTCTGTACTGAAGAACGAGCAAGGTTGCCAGATTGCAAAGAAATAAGCAAAACACAGCCCACACATAGTTTCCTTTTAAAACTGTCACCGTCCCACCTTTGGGACGCTTGGTGCTCTTTTTGTTGTTGTCCTTTTTCTCTATCAAATCTTTTACTAATAATCATCTAATTTGAAACCTTAGAAGCCCAAGATTCATCCTGTAAAAAACATTTTGAAATCGGACATTGCGTTACCATGGAAATGCTACTTTAACATATTTTGGCCGTCTCCTCCCCCTTAGTGTCAAGTGTCATATTACAAAATGCATTACGGTCTTTTAGAATCAAACCTTTTTATAATCTTGACAAAAACATATCATTGGATAGGTCTGAGTCTCACCATTCCATATTTGGTGTTTTTTTTCCCCTAATACAAGTCTGTAATATTTACAGAGAAATCTAGACATTTCTGACAGAAAAATGCATACAAAAACATTCTATGGAGTTTGGCTGGTACCCGGTGGCTGTTTGTGGTATGACGCCCTAAATAACATCTCACAGGAACCGCAATTTTTCTCATATCAACTTCAAATTTGGAACATAACTTATTTCGACACAAGGCTTTCATTTCATATGTTATGTACAATATTTACTATATATAAAATAAAATTAGTATAGTGCATTTTCTTTACAGTACATTTAAACTTCTATAACATTTTCATACTTTCATTTTCTTTTACAAAATCCACTTTTGTAATCATTTGCTAATTTTTTGCTCTTTACAAAGACACCAACCTTAGGTCTGTATTCCAAAGTGTTCCTAAATTACCACAATTTCAGTTTGGATAGTGCACTATTTTAAACAATGGGGGATGACAGTTAAGGGGTTAACAGTGAAGCTCTAATTTGCGGATTTGAACTCATGATATCTGGCAACCGCACACATGAAAGCTGCAGTAGAGGCGTGCACAGCAGTCTGCAATAATATTGTCTCCTTTTTTCAACAAAAATTACAAGACATTTTGGTAAAGTTTATATTTTTCCCAATTCATTTTAGTCTCGTCTTTTATCATCACCGATATTGCATGTTCATATAGTCACAGTTGAACTTTATTGACCTTATTGTCGTCTCGTCTTAGTCATGGGAACAAACATTTTTCATCATACTTTTCGTTCACCAAATTCACACTAGTGGACAATCAATCATTAAAAATCACATTCCAATCACATAAGCACTAAACCCGGATTTGGACTTAGTCACTCTGAACAAGGCTTTTGAACTGACTCTTCATGGGAACCTACTGCAATCAAACAGCAACACTGTTTCCTAATATCCAACTCTACAAGAACAACACGAGCCACTCTTTTAATCTGCTCTGCTGCAGTGGTTTCTTTAATCTCACCCTTGAATCAGTTCAAATGCATTGACATCTGAATGAAGCTGACCTGTGTGTTTCTGTCTGTCCAGTGTCTGCGGCTGATGGGCAAACTGATGACCGAATGCTGGGCTCACAATCCCGCGTCCCGTCTGACCGCCCTGCGGGTGAAGAAGACACTCGCCAAGATGTCCGAGTCTCAGGACATCAAACTGTGAGCCGAAAGTCACTCCGTCCCGAGAGTCTGGGAAGAAAGAACGGCTTTATCCTGCTTTCTGTGAAAGTTCACTCAAGCCGCTCGCCCTGCAGGCCATCACGGGTCACACACCTTCAGATAAACTCTGACCGTCACTCCATCCAGCATCATCAAACCATAAACACTGTTCAATCTGCAACTCAAACTCTCAACTAAACCATTCAATGAACTTTGACCCACCCAACATTAACAAACAAAGCTTTTTCCTCACGTTCTCCAGAAGACAAACAGAAATGACGGCCAGGTTTTCACGCTGTAGAAATACGTCCTTGTAAAATATGATTGTATATACTGAATGTCATGAGTTATAGAAAGATGTTTTCTTGCATTACAAGAACGTTTGTACAGAATGCTTTCTTTCATGTTGCCTTGTGCCTTATTTAACACACACATGTAAAAGTTTAATATTTCATAGTTCTATGTAAATGGAGTGACAACTAACTGTACGTGCTTAACATTCCTGTCCCTTTAATAAAGTCAGCTCAATTCTGACATGCAGCTTTTTCACCTTTCTTAGAAAGAAACCGCAACATTTTCACATGAATTTAGAAACAATTGTTCAAATTAAAACCAATTCTCATTAATCTTTTTAAGAATACATTTATAATTTACAATTACATATTAATTGCACACTCACACACACGCACACACTCTCGCTCACACACACACACACACTCTCGCTCACA